GGAAACAAGAAGATCATAATGAGCTATGAAGTCAATTGACTCCCTCCATGCTGCCTGAATAAAAATTCCACCTGGATCCACCCTTGATAATCTCTATCCTTCTTTAGCTTCCTTTCACATCATTATCAGGTAACCATTTCTCAGTACTGCAGGTGATGATGGTGCCCAGAACCCAGATCAGGTTATGCAGCACTAATCATATCCCTTCCCTTCCCCAAGTCAACAAGAGGAAAAGAAAGATAATTGGGTCTGCCTGGAGTGGGGAGGGGATGACACCAAGCGTCCTTACTTGTATCTCAGAAAGTGGATTCTTCATCTCCCCCTGTTGCTGGTTGTAAGTATTGCAAGCATCTCAAAGAAAACTTGACAGGTTTCCATCACTTGTTGAAGCCAAACCCAGGACAGCAGGGTTCCCAGCTACCATATCTGAAGCAGTAGGTATCAAAGGGAGATGACCAGGACAACACACTGGTGCATTGACGTTAGTAGGGGTACAAAAAAACCAGCTGGTTTGGTTACCACCACAGCACTAGGAACAGAGCCAATGATGCAGCACCATAAGACGCTGCCACCTACGGTACTCAGTCATCCAGTTATGCCTCTGCCTGAAGATGGACTTGAGAGAAAACTCTACATATTTTTATTAAATTGTATGAATAGAAATTTTAAAAGAGAGGTGCTTTTACTGGATCTTCATGCATGTTTTCTCTGCTACTAAAACTGAGTGAGTCTGTTTACAGCTCAAGCAGTACTTTCCAGATGTAATGAGAGATGGCTTTCCTTGCTAATATCTTTTTGACACGCAAATCATTTTCAATCTTACAACTTCTGTTTGATCATAGGGTTATTTTTTTATGTATTTCCTGAAATTACTTCCATGAAGAAAAGTCTGATTTCATTGTATTATCAGTAGATTCCAGTGATAGAGGAAAAAAAAACCTCTCTCATCAAAAGATCACCTTGGTGCATCAGTGACCTTAGATACATTAAGGCATGTAGTCAGAAACTGGAACAGAGTTTATGCAAGTTCCCTTTGACATTCAGAAATTGCATCTTAATAATAACAAGGAAGCTATGACTTTGGTAAAAATGTCATAATCACCAATTCAATTAATGCAGGCTGTGGATATCTGAGAGGATTGCTTTTCTTTCACTGATATTTCCATTTAACCACAAAAGGCCATTAACATAGCACTGGAAATTTAGTAGAAAAAGTAAATTGATTTGTTGTCTTTCCAATAAAAAAGTTGATTCTGATCTTAGATGCCATTTCTCTATGTCAAATAACACTGCCTGCATCTATATATGCACTTAATGTAGAGTTCCCCACTGGCTCAAATTACTGCCTTCCCAGGCTCATATTTGGATGCTGTACCTGGGAGTAGTTTACTCTGACTCAGACTGCTCCCGAGTTTATTGCTTTGCATTTATTGCATGTGTAGATGTATGCACTGAGTGCATCTACACATGCATATTTACTGCGCAGCAACCGAAAATACTATGCAGTACAGGCACACATCTACCCGTGCATGCCCAAATTGAGCAGTAAATATGGTGACTAACGCTGACTTAAGTGTAAATTTGATACCTGTATCATGCAGGTACCAAATTTATGCCTGATTAGTTACTGTACAGTAACGCATAAGTAGACACTGTACTGCCCAGTAACCCAGGCCTACTGGACCAGCCCAGCCATGATGGGGCTGGCCTAAGCCCAACCCCAGGGATCCTGACTGACCACCTCTCCCTGCTTCAACTTGGGGCTAACATTAGTCCCAAGTACTGGCAGCTGGCTCTGGCTTCAATTTAGGACTAAAGTTAGTCCCAAGGGCCAGTAACTTACTGTGCCGTAAATTTAAGATGGCATAAATACATATCTAGACACAGCCTTTGAGAAGCATTTTTTCCACCCATTTTGCTCACTGATTGTGTCTCATATAGATGTACCCCAAACTAGCTTTAAGCTAGCTAGCTCAGGTACTGTTGTCACTGTATCCCTGATAATATGGAACTCAGTGTGGGCTGCAAGCAACCAAACTCCAGGAGCCACAACCCAACATAATTCAACATAATTCATTATTGACTTGTCTCTGTGCTCTGCTTACAGTGTGTGTGTGTTTTATCTGTACAATATTTCAATTATTCTGTAAGAGAAGAATTTATATGAGCAGTCTTCAAGGCATCACTGATATATTCTAGGCAATTGACTGACCAGATTTGTTAACCTAGGTAGGTGAAACAATCCCCTCTTTCTTTCAGTATCTCTTCCCCTTATTATACCTACAAAAAAGGTTAACTCCCTCGGTAACTTCTTTTTTAAAAGTAGAAAGCTAGTACTAATACTAATTAGCATTCAGCCACCTTCTATTTGTATGTTTTTAATGTATAAGTATTTGCGTAGACCACAAGGGTTAAAATACATCATTTGACATATTTGTAGCTCTCAAGTGTATAGATTCATAAAATCTAATAATATCATTAAGATTTCATAGACATTAGGGCTGGAAGGGACCCCAGAAGATCATTGAGTCCAGCCCCCCTACCCCAGGGGCAGGAAGTCAGCAGGGATCATAGGATCCCAGCAAGACAAAAATCCAAGTGTCTCTTGAAGGCATTCAAAGTAGGTGCTTGAACCACCTCCAGCGGCAGTCTATTCCAAACCTTGGGGGCTCGGACAGTAAAGAAGTTCTTCCTTATGTCCAACCTGAAACAGTCATGGAGGAGTTTGTGACCATTTGACCTTGTCATCCCTTGGGGTGCTCTGGTGAACAGATGTTCCCCCAGATCCTGCAGATTAAGCATTAGAAGTCTTGTCACCTTAACCTGTTGTATTTTGTTTATACCTCTTAACAGAAGAGAAATACCTACCTAATTCCCTCTTTGCTCATTCCCTTTGCTCTATCATTGTGATGTTTTTATGCTGTAAATATTGTGCATTTTCTCAGTCATCCATGTTTTGTAGCACTAGGATACTACTATATACTAGTAAAACTAGTATAGAAATCTTTCCATTGGTGTATAGAGCTCTGAATCCCATGAAGAGATATGCCAGCTGAAAATTAACCTCCTGTTTCTAAAACATGTCAATCTAATGAATTTTAAACCAATGTAACATCAATGCATCTACTATCCAAGAGGAGGAACTATTAAGTAAGTGGAATTATCAGTGATCTGAATGCTTTAGTCACAGTTATTTATCTGGCCTACTGTTCTGGCCAGAAAAGGAAGCCAGAACCATAAAGCTGAGGGGCTTGAAGTAGTTTTAAACTTCAAGCATAATTCTTCAACATAATTCTGCAAATAACATTTGCCCAATTTGTATGAACAGGCAACTATTTACCTCTGTATTTTTGTAGTAGTTACTAGTCACTGCTCTTCTTTGCTATCATACTTTAATCAGTATTGTCCTCCTTGTATTTTACTATTCTTTTGAAATTATTCCCTTTCCCCTGCACTCCTTTTTTAAAAAAATATTTTCCTTTTAGGCCAAGTTGCAGCTCTGCTGTTAGCCTACTGTTGGCATCTTGGCTACATCTCATTTCCCTTTTGATGTCCTACTTTGGACTAAAGAAACTTTTCTACTCAGCCTACTTTTCGCCTTGCTCACTTCCTTTGTGCTATTGCTAGGTTGGTTGTTTTTACCTTGTCAGTGGACATGTCTACATGAGATACTTTGCTCAGGATTAGAGCAAATTACTGTGCAATAAGCATCACTGTCTACATGTGCAGATGCTTACTGGACAGTAATTTGCTCTAATCGCAAGTAAATTTGCTACCTGTAAATACAAATAACAAATTTACTCGAGTAATTACTATGCAGTACAGCATGTGTAGACAGCCAACCAGGAGCAAATGTGCTCACAATCAGCTGGACATTGTTGGCACTGGATGTGGACCCTGCCCCTATACCTTTGTTCTAGGCAAGCACAACCCTCCGACCAACCACAATACCCGCTAGTTGATAATGGGTGAGTTTATTGATACAGAGTGATAACAAAAAAGTAACAATACGAACAATCAAGCAATTCTATATCTACCAGTCTATATCTAGGGCTGTCATCAGAGTCAAAGTACAGTTGGTCAGACTGCAGGCTCCACTCTGAGACTTTTTCTCTTAGGTGTCAGCAGTCTGGAGGTGGGATGCTGAGGCCCACAGCCCCCCTCCAGTGGGGTGGATGAGACAGGCTACTGGTATGCCCTTGGTCCATGGTGGCCTTGTGGACCCTTCCTGGGAGACAGGGATGGGGATGGGGACCCCTCTCAGGGAGCAGAAGGAGGAGGGACAGCAAGGAGGGATGAGAAGGAACAGGGAGGGACCCTTTGTTAATCTCAGGTCTCTGCTTTTGTATTCTCCTTCCCTCACTGATGACTCCTGATGACTCTTCATCCATAGCTATCTCCAATTTGTTGTCTTTGTGTAGCCTTCTGGGCCTTCTCCTAATTTGGTCTGTTCCCCCTAAACTGGGACACAGGCCCCACCTCTGCTCTGGGGCCTTGTAGCTGGTGTCACTTATCTTGTGTTATGGGACAGTATGGAATATACTTCCTTGGGTCTCAGGCTGTGTGTCTTCGTTGTGTTAGACAACCTGTCTGCTTTCAGGTGGTGATCTCGTGTTATGGCATGCCCCCCTCAATTCTCAAACTGTGTCCATCTGTTGGCCTTGTTGTGCTAGACAGCCCATCTGTTTTCAGGGCCATGAGAAGCTGTTTGTGTGTCTCCCAAGCTCTTTAGAAAGCCATTTAACCCTTGCTGCTGATCTTGAACTCTTATAATGCATATATCTATACCTATAAGCCAATTCCCTGCAAAACCCCAGAGCATGGTGCAACTTGCACCAGGTATGGGGGTGACTGGAATAGGTGAAATACAGGAGTGAGACACAGTTTTTCCTCTAGTTAGGAAGTATTGTATTAAGAAGACTTTTCCTTTTAAACTGAATTATAACTGATATTTGTGTCATGCTTCTGTCCTTTCAAAAATCTGCTTTTGTTCTTTCTAGACAAACCTCGTGAAATTGCTTTTGACACATTGGGCCAACCCCCATCTTCTCAACTGCAGTAATGAAAGGCCTTCAGGTATGACTATTATCCCTCTTCCCTCCAAAATGCTTCTGTCCTTAACTTGTGTATGTTGTCAACCTAGCCACTTGTGCAAAGAGGAAATTGCTTTTGTTTGTTTGCTTGCTTTTCTGGTAGAGTGTACCTATCTTAGAAATTTTACTGCACAATTCAACCACAGGAATTGCATTATTTAATTTGAAGAATATTTAACCAATAGAATACAATAAGTTATATGTCCATAGCATGTTGTCATAGTTGTTGTGCATATTGAGCCATGCCTTTGATTCCTGGAAGCATGTCTTCATGCAAGTACTTAAAAGAGCTTTTTTGAATATTGTAGAGTAGGATGATTTATTCAAGAATATGTATTTTTAAATAATAGCACCTTCTGTTATGGAAAACCATCTACAAAGTAAGAGAATATTATATGAAAAGATCCTTGCATTAGGATTATTAATGTAACATTTAGCATTGGTGTTTTTAGCATATATTTAATGTAACATTTAGCATTGATTTTTTTTTTTTTTGAAGGTTGCTGTGTTTGGCTTTGTTTTAGTTTTAGTAGCATCTAGAATGAGGTGCTAAAATTCTTGTGTGTCTATCTCCCTGATTTCTGAGGTGCAAAGGACCAGGAATTCATCCCTTCACACCTGATGGGAACATCATGATCAGTCAGTTATCAAAGAATATTTTTTCCCAAAATGCTGCAACCCTTTCTTTCTCCATAGTTAACTGCTTTGGTCAGTTCTGCACCTTTGTAACACTGACTGGCTCTATTGTTGCTATGGAGGCTTGCCTTTACACTTCCTCAGTCTCTACCCAGTGATCAGCATATTACTTCTTTAGCATAAGTGGCTTTTCCCATAAGGTAGCACAGCTGCAGCTGGTGACTCATGGATTCATAGACATTAGGGCTGGAAGGGACCTCGTAAGATCATTGGATCCAGCCCCCTGCCCAAGGGGCAGGAAGTCAGCTAGGATCGAAGGATCCCAGCAAGATAGGCATCCAAATGCTTCTTGAAAGTGTCCAGAGTAGGTGCTAGTGCTATATCTGGGGGTGTCTATTCCAGGCCTTGGGGGCTTGTATAGTGAAGAAGTTTTTCCTTATATCCAGCCTAAAATGGTCTTGCATGAGTTTGTGACCATTGATCCTTGTCTTCCCTTGGGGCGCTCTGGTGAACAACCATTCCCCCAGATCCTGATGCACACCCCTTATGTACTTAGCTAGCTCTTCCCTCTTTTTCCTTGAGGTGAAGGGCCTGGCAGTAGGAGTCAGTCTCTTGTTCACCATCCCTGATGGCACACAACCTCAGCACTGCAGTCTGGAACTCCACTATCCAGCATTTCAGAGACTCCAATATGGAGCAAACCTCACAAGGGGAGGTATCAATGCTCCTGATCCCATGTGTCTGGAGTCATACCAGGCAGCCCCCTCAAGAGGCCAGGGGCTCTGTCTGAGTGGTGGCCAGAACCATGGGTTCTGTCTGGGTGGAGGCCTCAGAAGTACCAGAGGGGGAGGGGTCCAGTCACGGGAGGGTGGGGATCTTTGGAGTGCAGCGTGTCCCCACCAAAGTACAGATAGTAGTCCAGACTGCTACTGTGCCAACCCTTCTCTTCAGGCTCACCGCCTAGAACCTTGTGCCCCTCCTGCTCGCCTTCCTGCATGACCTCTTGCACTAAATTGTGCATCGGGCCTACAGTGCACCTGTTTGCATGCTCTGTTTTGAGGCTTTGGTTGAATGGCTCCCTGCAGGGCTGGGTCAAGTAGAAGCCGGGGTGTGGGAGGGGTATGATCCTCCTTGGCTCCTCTCAGCTGCCTCCCTGCAGCTGTCTAACTCCCACCCACTGCAGGCCCCACTTACCTCCCAGCTGTGCTGGGGTCAAGGTCAGGGTCTGTGCATCTGCTGGGGGTCCCTAAGGGGTCCTGGGCTCACGAGGGCACAATGGGCTTCTGCCTGTGCATCTTGCTTTGGAGCTGAAACATCCACTTCTCAGAATTTATCCTGGGCATATCTACACATGCTATTAACATGCTTTAATTGTACTGCACAGTAAAATAAGGTGCAGTAAGCTCTCCCCAAGAGCACGTCTACACATGTGCCCATCAGGATTAAATTTGCCCCCAATCATAGCAGTTCAATGCAGGATTACTCCTGCCCTGCTCTGCTCCCCTACAGTAGTCGGGGGGGGGGGGTCCAGGCTCCCGGCTCCCTTAGGTGTCAGCTCCAGGATGGCAGGGGGCACCAGGGTCAGGCCTGGACTCCAGGGGGTGGGAGGAGCTGTCCTGCCACCAGGGCAGTTACCTCCCTCCCTACACCCCGATCGGCAGATCAGGGCAGGAGCTTGGAAACGGTCCCTTGCCCAAGGTAGTTGCCTGCTTCCCAGCCCATTGCCCCATGTGGCAGCACCAGGGCTGGGAACATAGAGCTGCCTGAGGGATGGGAGAGTTCCCCCACCCCCTGCTGCCTGGGCAGACCAGGAGCAATTTGCTCCCAGTCAGCTGGCCACACGTGCACTACTGTGCAGTAACTACTGGCTGCATCTACACAAGTGGCTGACTGCACAGTTGTTACTTTATGTAAAAGATCCATGTGAATCCTATTTTTTGTACTTTATTTTGTTACGCTTCTTTTGTTACTCTTCTCTTCATATGATTGCTCTTATTTTTGCACTTTTGTTGTTACTTTGTATAAAAGAGTCATATGATAGCTCTTCTTTGCACTTTATGCAAAAGAGCCATGTGATTGCTCAGAGATCCATTTTAATACTGAAGATAGGCCTGTTGAAATTCTCTGGGTTAAGGTTAGAGGGGAGAGCAAAAAGGGTAATGTTGTTGTGGGTGTCTGCTGTAGATAACCAGACCAGAAAGAAGTGGTGAATGAGGCTTTGTTCAAACAACTAGCGGAAGTTTCCCAATAACAAGCCTTGGTTCTCATGGTTGACTTCAGTCACCCTAATCTCTGCTGGGAGAGCAGTGTGCAGGTAATCGAGGAAGTTTTTGGAGAGTGTTGGGTACAGCTTCCTACTGCAAGTGCCGGGGCAGCCAACTAGGGGTTGTGTTCTTCTTGACCTGCTTCTTCTTCCCTGAAAGGGAAGAATTGGTGGGGAATGTTGTAGTGGTTGGCAACTTGGGTAGCAGTGTCTACGAAGTGATTGAGTTCAGGATCCTGAGGAAAGGAAGGATGGAGAGCAGCAGAGTAAGGACCCTTGACTTCAGAAAAGCAGACTTCGACTCCGAGAACTTATGGCCAGGATCCCCTGGGAAGCCAGTCTGAGTGGGAAAGGAGTCCAGGATAGCTGGCTGTACATGAAAGGCTTACTGAGAGTGCAGGAACAAACCATCCTGATGTGCCGGAAGACCAGCAAGTATGGCAGAAGACCAGCTTGGCTTAGCAGGGAACTCTTCAGTAGACTAAGTCACAAAGAGGAAGCTTATAAAAAGTAGAAACTTGGACAAATAAATAGGGAGGTATATAAGAGCATTCCTCAGGCATCCAGAGATGAAGTGAGGAAGGCCAAGGCACAACTGGAGTTGCAGCTAGCAAGGAACATGAACAGTAACAAGAATGGTTTCTACAAGTATGTTGGTAGCAAGAGGAGGATCAGGGAAAGTGTGTGTCTCTTACTGAATGGTGGAGGCAGCCTTGTGACAGAGGAGGCAGAAAAGACTGAAGTGCTCAATGCCTTCTTCACCTCAGTCTTCACAGGCAAGGTCACCTCCCAGACTATTACACCTGGCAGCACAGTTGTGGGAGGAGCTGAGCAGCCAACAGAGGTGAAAGAGTAGTTTAGGAACTATTTAGAAAAGCTGGACATATACAAGTCCATGAGGCTGGATGGGATACACCTGAGAGTGATGAGGGAGTTGGCTGATGAGATTGCAGAGCCATGCCTGACCAACCTGACTGCCTTCTGTGACAAGGTGACTGGCTTGGTGGATGTGGGGAGACTAATGGATGTGGTGTATATTGATTTTTAGCAAGGCTTTTGATATGGTCTCCCACAGCATTCTTGCAGGAAAGCTAAGAAAGTATGGGCAGGATGAATGAACTGTAAGGCGGATAGAAAACTGGCTGGAGAATCAGGCTCAGAGAGTAGTAATCAATGGCTTGTCTAGCTGGCAGCCGGTATCAAGTGGAGTGCCCCAGAGGTCAGCCCTGGGACCCGGTTTTTTCAATGTCTTCATCACCAACCTGGAAGATGGCATAGAGTGCACCCTCAGCAAATTTGCAGGTGGCACCAAGCTGGAGGGAAGTATAGATACATTGGAGGGTAGGACTAGGATTCAGCGGGACCTAGACAAATTGGAAGATTGGGCCAAAACAAATCTCATGAGGGTCAACAAGGACAAGTGCAAAGTCCTGCACTTAGGACAGAATAATTCCATGCACCAGTACAGGCTGGGGGCTGACTGGCTGGGCATCAGCTTTGCAGAAAAGGACCGGGGGGTTATAGTGGACAGTAAGCAGAATATGATCCAACAGTATGCCCTTGTTGCAAAAACAGCTAATGGCATACTGGGCTACATTGGTAAGAGTGTTGTCAGCAGGTCAAGGGAAGTGATTATTCCCCTTTGTTCAGCACTAGTGAGGTAACATCTGGAATACTGTGTTAAGTTTGCCTCCCGCCACTACAGAAGGGATGTGGACAAATTGGGGAGGGTCCAGTGGATGGCCAAAAAAATGCTAAGAGGGCTAATGGACATGACTTATGAGCGGGGATCCTGATTTTCTCTAATAAAAATAAATCCCAAATTTTTGGATTAAAAAAGTAACCAAAATCCACATTTTTCTGTGATTGAAATGAAACACCACTACACACACACACACACACACACACACACACACTATATATATAGCTATATAGTAATCTACTGTGCTGTAAAGCATCACTGTCTACATGCATAGCATTAACTATGCAATAAATTAGCTTTCTGTGTGGTTGGTTACTACCTATATAGGCAGTAGATCTACCATGCAGTGGGCCCATTTATACAAGACCCTATGGCACAGTAGCAACAAGCTTAATCTACTGCACAGTAAAGAGTTTTGTGTAGACGCACACACAGTCACTACATAAGTGTTCTTTTAAGGATTCTTTCCTGTCATGGTGGACTAAGATAGGGTATTGGTATCAATGGCTTAGAAGGGAGTATCCTTATAGGAAAAGCAAGAAAATGAATTGTACTTAAACTATCCTGAATTTAAATTATAAAAAGTAAAGAATGTAAGACTAGCAGTGTGGAAAACTGAACAACTTTACCTGCAGATTATGTAAGGAAATTTGTACTGCATAGTCCATCAAAGAAATATGTGCCATTGTTAAAAATAATCTTTAGAATTTTGTGCAGTACCTTATCTTCTCTGAAGGTTACTTGAGTGAATATGTCAGCCATTCATTTGAAAACAACAGAGTTGAGCTGAGACTATCTGTCTAGATTGCTAGTTATATAACAATATGTCCTTTGTGCAAACATAGTTGTTTTCAGCACTTTGATTTCTTCAAATCAATATGTAATTTTAAGTGTAAGACTAGCATGTAGAAATAAAAGAACAGTGAGGTATTTCAGTGTTCGCTGTCATTGAATAAAGTGTTCAATCATGCCATTAAATATCATTTAGTTTTTATATCCCATTTACTATTGAATTGTTTAGTTCCTTCTAGAATAAGACTGGTTTGACGTTTGCCAAACAAAGATGATATAATTTCATACCAAAGCCACCTTACATTTCCTTTTCTCCAATACTCCTGTGATAAATTTCTTCTTAAATTTTTCTTTTGTCAAAATGCTTATCTAAGCTATTGTTAAATCTATAGTTTTGATCCAAATAGGGTTTTGCTATTTTTGCTTTTTCATGCTTAATATTTTTATTCCAATATCTAGATCTTGCAGCTTCTGAATTTATTGAGGAAATCCTTCTGAAAGCCGAAACTATTTGGGAGTTAAAAATGAAAGACCCTTCAACTGTTTCTACTTTATCACAAGAGGAGCCATATGAAGAGATCATCCATGACCTGCCTGCATTTTCTAATAAGCTGTAAGTATTTATAGTTAAGGGCAAAATAGTAGAGCTGTGTTGTCCTGTATAGTGTATACATAACAGATGGGCAAAGTGGGTTCTTCAGTTTGAAAGGCTGTTATATCTTTCTCTATTTCCTGCCCCAGTTTCTTCTGATTTAGATAGTAACAGATTTGTAGTCAAAAGTTCACCATGTACAGTTATCAGAAGGTGAGAGAAGAAGGATAAATAAGATTTAACATATGACTTCAGAATTCAAGTATTTAGCAAAAATAGGGGAATAATGACAATGTTGGATTTTGTCTTGGGGGTTATATGGTGACAGGAGTTAGCCTGAGTGCCTGTGTTTTCATTTTTATCTGTCCTAACATTGCAGAAATTTAATGGGTACAGACCACTTGTAAATACAAGTGTAAGGCTGTTTCTGCATTGGCTGGAACCAATGATTAATAAATGAGGGTAGACCCACAGAAAGGGTTAAAAGCTCCAGGAGCAGAGTGCAAGCTGGGAAAATAGAGGAGGAGTAAGAAGCACAGAGCCTGGGTCGCCCCTCTCAAGGTCAGAAGGGAGACAGCTGATTTTAGGTTTGTTTGGTTGTTGTTTGTATGCCTGCTTGTTTTAATGTTTGTTTTGTTTACTGTGGGGAGAAGGTTGATACATGTAAAATAAACGGGCTGGAAATCCTGAACTCAGAGCTGGCTCGTCTTGACCCATTGAGCTGGGTCAGAGCAGCACCAGGCTGGCAGGCTCACCCTCTTGACCACCAGGCAGCTGAGGCTGCTCTGACCCAGCTTAATGTGCTGTGGTCCCAGGTGCATGTGTAAATGTGGTGCCTAAGAGCAGTAAACTGATGTGAACTACACAGGAGGTAATTGTGTTGCACTAGTAGCATGTGTACACATGCCCAGTGAAAAAGAATTTACTTTCCATGGAATCTGCTATTAAATTTACTATATATGCCTCTCTGCCAATCAATGGCAAGGGGCGGGGTCACTGGGAAATGCCCACAAAATTGGCTTTTCATGTTGCAGACAAGCTACAAAAATTGCTTTATCACACCAAGAGTTAAGTGGATCACTATTAATTACTCTCTTTCCTTTTGAATGGTCTTGATGAGCATTTTTACACATGCTCTGGGACTCAGTGCCAGGTGCTTTAATCAGCAACCCATGCTAATAAAAAGCATCCGCACTTCATACGTACAGGTTTCCCCTGATTCATGCGGGTTCTTTATATGAGAATTCGCTCTTATGCAATGACTATATTCAGACCCATAATGCGTTATATGCAAGGAAAATTCTCTCTCATGTGATCAGCGTAGATGCCCCCCTGCCCAAGCAGGTAAGTCTGTGGGGGAAGGGGAAGGGGCCATGGCCCCACTCACCCCAACCCTGGCTGCAGCGGCCCTGGGAGTATCCAGTGCCAGCTGCCTACAGCCGCTGGGATATACCATGCTCTGCCTGTCCCCCCATGCCTAGCCTCACCCCAGCTCCTGGGCTGCACGGTGCCGTGGTGCAGGCAGCCAGTGTAGGCTGCTCCTGGGGCTGCTCCAGCATGGGATAGGGTGAGTGCAGACAAGTGGAGCCCTGGGCGGCATGGGGCGCAGCACTCACCCCGACACCAGCCGCCTGCACCAGGGCACGGTGCAGCCCAGAAGTAGAGGTGAGTGGGGACAGGTGGAGCATGGTGCAGCCCAGTGGCTGCAGGCAGCTGGTGCCAGCTGCTCCCAGGGCTACTGCAGCTGGGGCTGGGGTGAGTACCTCTCTGTTCCCGCTGCCTTGCCGCCTTGTGCAGCCCTGGGAGTGGTACCCCTCCCACTGCCCCTTCCCTAGTCCGAGCCTCACTCTATCCCTCCCTCACCACCATGGGAACCTATCCCTGTTTGTTACATTGTAAAGTGGGTTTGCTTTATGCGGATTTGATTTATGCACTGTTCTCCGGGAACGCATGTACAGCATAAATCGGGGGAAACCTGTATCAGAGTCCCCATGCGTCCCTGTGCTGATAAAATGGTGGCAAGGAACTAAAGCTCATTGAACATATTTTATTTCAAAGCAGTCTGCTGCCATTTTTTCAGTGCAAGGGCACATGGGGATGCTGATACATGTGACGTGGAAGGCTGCCAGAGCATGTCAATTTCCGTGTTTCGTCAGACTCAATGAATTGAGTCTGTTCTGACGCGCTGGAAGCACATGGGAGGAGGCTCCCCGCATGTCTTTAGGAGCCCAGTGTTTCATTAAACAAGCTATCCTTTCCTTGGCAGTTTTACTGTCTGTTAGCTACCCCTGGTCTCTCTCTTCCTATTTCACAGCCCTGAAGACTATTTTTATCTCTTTTCAAAATCCTAGTTCTGCCAAGGGAGTCCAGTCAGGAGCTAGAAATTCAGCCTTTGGCTGAGAAGCTAAGAGTTGCTGACATTTTAGCTGTGAATCTGCATATTTTTTTCTGAGTTGGAAGGGGAACGTGAGTGAACTGAAAATTAGGCAGTGTTCTTCCTCTATTCAGCTATATCTCTGGATAAATCATTTCTTTTCTTCATTCTGTCTTCCTTAAAACAAGGTGCGTGTCTTATTTGGGGGCATGCATTATGAATGAAAATATAGTAGCTTGAAAACATGGATTATGTCATATTAAAATATGTTATCCTCATTACATGAGTAATGTTAAATATCATATTAGGAAGTTCAAACTTGCAGGGCTTTAAATCAAATGCACCAATTAAGGTAAAATTTATTTTTCTTTATCAGTTAAAGACTAATAACACTAATGTTATATCCATTGACATTATTTCCTGTCATATACTTGGAATGAAAGCTAAGAAGGCATTTATTTCTGTTAATTTCCAACCTGGATCCTGAAATGACATATAATGAGGTACTCTGCCAAACAGTGAAAAGGGGTTGCCATTAAGCAATGATGTATTTCATTCTAAGTTCAATTTCTTTTCTTTTTTAAAAAGACATTTTATTTGTTGGTTCATTTTCCATATAATTCCTCTGTCTCCAAAGAATTTCCAAATGCAATTAGCTCTCAGAAACTGGATACCATCCAAAAATTGGGGACCTAGTACATGCATGGTTGCTAAATTAATTGCTAAAGTGGAGATGGTTAACAAACAAAAACAATGGCAAAGAACGAAAAGGTTTTTTGTTTTGTTTTGTTTTTTAAAGGCATCTCTTCTGTATAAGTGCATGCCTATATAGGGGAAAGGAGTTTTTATGTCTATGTTTACATTTATAAATATCCTATGAGAAGCAGCTATTCAACACTAACCTGAATTCTTTCTGCTTAGTCCATGTCATTATTCTTTCTAATAGCATATTTTATACATGACCACTGGATTCATTTTGGACTTCCTTTATGCTGTGAATTTGTAGCACAGATTAGCTTCTGACCTCCAAAGCTTTCAGTGTTCTGAAGAAATGGCTGAGGCATGGCAGGGGGGCTGTGCAATCTGCTCTCCTCACCCCTTGCTCCCTGAAATTAAGAAAAGGAGAGTGATTCTTTCAGACATTTCCAAATGGTTGCCCTTTATATGGTAATAAAACTAAACTGTTGTGGGCAGTGACCTTCATTGAGAACTCCTAGAAAAGCTCATGGAGTAGAAAAATGAAGATAATTGACTCTGAAAATGAACCATCTGTGGAAAACGAAACTGCCCGACCATATACTTTTTTTCCTTTTTCCTGAATTTATGATTGTCCTGAAACTCTCAGGACATGTCTACACTACAGTCCAGAAGTATGATTGCAGTCTATATGGACACAGCCAGTCTAGTTTTAAAACTGGTGTGCCTGGCTAGTAATACCAATGTAGCTGCAACAGCACTGAGCTGAGCTTGGGCTATGCATTCAAGTATTATCTAGGGTCCAGCAGAGTTTTGCAGCCTGCGCTGAACTCTACACCACCACAGATTACACTGTCAGTAGTATCTGAGTCTGATTGTTCCAAGATATAGCTACACAAAGTGCAGTCATGTCTTTGGATTGTACTGTAGTGCATATTCTCATGGGGTACTTTTTGGCATTACATTTAGATCAACCTAACCAGAGTTAGGTCAACCACATGCTCAATTGTGCAAGTATCCAGGAGGTTAAATTCAGCCAAAAAAATATGCGCTCAGTCTCAGTTAGTTCACCTGAGTAGGTGCACTAATTTTAGATCAAGATCAGGTTAACCCAATCTAGGAAAGGGTTAACCTAATCTCCCAAAAGTCTGTATGCATCTACAGTGTAGCCAAGGGCTGGGAAAGCCCAGCCACTGGCCCCATCATCCACCCAACCCCGACTGGGGTATTTTTAGCCTCCTAACCCCTGCAACAAGGCAGCCTCCTCCCCTGCAGATCCATTGACCCCCCTTCCCCACAGCAAAGCCAGCAATCCTGCCAACCCCCTTGCAAACCCATTAGTTTCCCTAATCCAGTTTCCCCCCCACCTTGAGTTACTTGCGTCAGGCTCCCTTCATGGCTCCTGGGACCAGGTGATGGCTGCCTACACTGCTTTTGTGGATGTGTCTACATGTGTATTTGATGCATGAAAAGTTTATTAGTGAGTAAACTACTCATGAGTAAATGCTCTTGGGCAGGCATTTACACATGCAGGGAAGTGGGAGCAGATTTGTTGCTAATGGCAGCAAACTGCTCCTGCTTCCTGGGGTCCTGCAATGGGCCTCTGCAAATACCAGGGGCAGCTCTAGACTCCCCCTTGGTGCTAGCCCAGGGGCTGGTAGGGAGCACTAAGTCAGGAGGCAGGTGTCTCTTGGCCAGGGCTGGGACATTGCACCCTGCTCCTAGGGGCTGCCTACTGCTGAGGCAGAGACAATGTTCCCCTGGTTTGGCAGCAGGGAGATCCTGGCCCCGGCTCCTTGATCCTGGCCCCAGCTAACTCACTGCTAGCTGCCCCACCAGTGGATTGGGACAGGGGGCTGGGTCCTACCCTACGCCTACAGCTCTTTACAAGCCCCATGCCTCAGTCACTCAATAGGGGCATGGGGTTGGGACTTGCCTCTGACCAGGACAG